TTAGTATAGTAGTAGTCGTCTACGTACACAAATAAGAAAATAAGTAAGTAATAATACTACTACCTACCTCGTTGTACGTATTAGTTATACTACCTTACTTAGTAGTAGTAAGTAAGTTTAGTTATATATATATATATATATATATATATATATTGTACATTAAGACTTGGTGTATGCATGTATTGCTTTGAATATTGTTTACTTATAAATCACAGGATAGGACTGTAGTGGTAGCAGATTTTGGCTTAGCAAGGATCATCTCGGACCACCACCACTCTTATTCCTCCAGAAAATATGGGAAACGAAACTCATCAAAAAAGTATGAGCGAAAGAAACGCTATACAGTAGTTGGGAATCCCTACTGGATGGCACCAGAAATGATGAAAGGAAAGAAATATGATGAAAAAGTTGACATTTTTTCCTTTGGAATTGTTCTGTGTGAAGTAAGTCTTTTTCTATTTTTAGTAACTTAAACATAAAAAATGAGATGTTACTAACATGTTTACCTGCTCAGCTATAAATGTTTTATAGTATGTTTTATTAATTCCTTTACAATATTATTTTTCTCATAATAAAATTTTGAAACATTTTAATCTCTTTAAAGAAGTATGATTTTAAATTAAGCTGTCTGACGAGTATTTGAGTGTGTGATATTATTAGTTGTCAAAAACAAGTAAGTTCCAAAATTCTGCTGACACTTATAACTATTACTTGATCCCCTGGGTTTCTTCTTTGCCCATCTAAGCATTGGTCTGACTTTTTCTCGCTTGCTTCAGTCTTTTATACCCCACTCAATTGCTCTTGGCAATATTTTCTTGTGATACTCTCCACCAGTGTTTGTGCGACCTCTATCCTGGTACTGTATATAAGCACCTTATTCAGATAATTTTATTACTTTTTCTTAAGAAAGCATCACTAATGCATCATCTAGTTGATTTTCGTAATAATAATAATTCAAATAACAAAATTTTTTTCTTCTTATTGGCAAGAGGATTACAGTATCAATTCCAAGATTATTATTTCTGGCATGGAGGCAAATTGGGTCTGGGTCACTCTCTGTTGAGACTGTCAATGATTTTTATTCATAATGAGGTGGAAACAAATATTCAGATCTGTGGTGGTCTTCTGGGGGTGGGGGGGCTCTGAGGCTACAATTGATTGAGGGCAATCCTTGACGTTTGATAGAGACTTTAGATTTGCTTTTTCCTGTGCCTTCTTTTAGTCTGTTAGATTTTCACCCCACCCCCCTGTGGGACAATGGTAATTTTACGAGCTCTCAGTGCGGGTGTCCAGGGTTCGTTTCCATAGGGTGGATGCTGCACATGGCTCGAAGTTGCTTACTTGACCTCAAAAAATGCTGTTCCTATCACTGGTAATCAACACAGTCTTTATATGGCCTATGAAAAACGAAAAGATAAGTTGCCTTTGATTTGTTTTTCTTCTGTTGTTTATTTGAGTGTGTGATGTTTTGGGCTTTTTCCCAGTTGCTTTTGAGTCTGCAACTTACTTGATGGCTGAAAAGTCTGGGAGCGAATTTTTAGTTTTATGCTGGAAGGTTTACTTCTTAATTACATGAAGGCCTTACCTGATAAGTTGTTTGAACTTCATGATTTAGCCTACCATGACCAGGTGGAGGCATTTTTCTGACTCTCAAATAATACATTTGCTCCTCGAATTATGGGGTTCTAAGGCAGAGTTTATAGTTCACTTATATAGGTCTATGTCCCCTGATGGGACAAAGTAACTCTACAGATTTGCAACTCACATTCAGATTTTTGTTTCCTTTCACTTCATTTTGTTAAAATACTATCAGGATCACCAGCTTTGTTAATGAGCTGGATCCCTTGTTATCATGCATGATTGGTTCAATTATTGACTTCTACATTCCTCCCGGTTGTTGTTGGAGTGTCATATTTCATCAGCTCTTACAGGGGGTCATAATTTCACCCCTATTCATGAGTCCCAACCCCCGACATCAGCTGCTTGGTATATTGATACTCAGAATAGATTCTGCTTATATCCGAGGTTTCCACTTTTTAGTTGGATCACCAGCAGTGTTGGTGATTATTGTATACCTTCAGGGTATGTGGGAGATAAGTTACAAGAACTTCTGGACGTGTGGTAACCTTAACCACGGGTCCAGGAGCTCTGCAGGTCCTTGGGTCACATTTTGTCATTCAATTCACATCTTTCCCACTTTTTTCCACCCAACCTGTAGGGTTTCCATCTCCCACAGTTCATCAGGATTTGGAACTTATTTCTAGGGTTATCTGAGTTTGGTTGGTTCGGGGGTAGGGAGAGAGTCAGTGTAGTTCTTCTGAGTTTTTATTCCTGTCTGTTGTTGGGCCTATGCAGACTGGAGAAATATCCTTGTCTATATCAATGTCTATATTCTCCAAGGTTCACAAGTTACTCATTCCTTAATCTGTGTTGATTTTTTTTTACTGGGATTATAGATGTCCAACTTGGTTGGGGTCAGCTCCTACCTACATTTTCCCATAGAGGTGGAGTCCCACCACTCTTAGCATTTGTGGTTCACAAGGGTCAGGTACTGCAGTTCCAGGTTTTTCCCTTTGGACTTGCATATGCTTCACATGGGTTCTGCTGTATTTAACGAGTTTTTTTTTCTTTCTCCCCCTCTTCCTTCTATCATACTGTATGTGCACCATTCCTTGGATGACTGGTTACTGTTGGCACTATCTTGTTAATTGTTAAACCTTAATATACTGATTCTCATTTCAGATACAACCCAGGCAGGCTTCCCATTTGGACTACAGCATCTGTTCTTGCTCCAATTCAATATATCATCAGTCTGGGTATTGTTTATTTTTCATTGCATCTCTCAGTCGGGCTCAGCTGTCTCCCATCCTGCTCAATGTTATAGAATAGGATGCTAGACTCTTACTCCTCTCTCCTTCTCCCATTGCATGGATGGTTCTTTCTCTTTTGGGAATGTTGGCATCACTTGAATCCTTTGTTCCTTTCAGATATGAACACAAGCAATCTTTTTATTGGTCTTTAAGTGATCAAGGATCATACACATCTGTTTACTGGTTTCCCCAATTTCTTTAGTCGGGATCATTATTTGATCTCGAGGAGTTGTTAAGTTGGGACACTACTACGATTTGGGCTCCTCTACTGCCACCTTGTCCAGAGTTTCATTCACTTCACAAATGCCTTGCTTCAGGGATGGGATGCATATACCAACAGTCAGGAATTCCAGAGTCTATGCATGGATGATGAGGATTTCCTACACAGTGTTTGCATCCTTCTTGCTCTTCAACTAGCAAAGCCTCCTGGTCTGGGCTTCTTAAGGGGTAAATCATCAGGCTTCACTTGGACTATTTTGTGGTGGTGTCTTATGTTTCTTGTCATGGAGGCATGTGGCTTAGAGCTTATTTTTGAATTTTGTACTTCCTTTCTCAGGATTAGTCTCATCTTATCACCCTTCTAGCTTGTCATGTTCCACGGGTGATGGTAGCTGGTCCTTTGTCTCAATTCATACAGATTCTCTCGAAGAATAAATGTTGCATCATGAGGAATCTGTTGGATTGACTTTCATTTTGTAACTCTAATAGGTGGGTTGGCCTCTTATTGGATCACCCAACTACTGGCAATTCGATCTCCAGTATCTCATCTTTGGGCTTTGGCAGTATCTACTTTCTGTCTGTACAGGATGGGATTACCAGTCTAAACCTTCTCTCCATTTCATATGTTACCCAGGGTAAGAAATATGATTTGTTTCAACCCATTGTCAAATCCTGTTGATAGCACTAGATTGGCTGCTACACCCGGGTTTCTGCTTCTGCAGTCCTTTCCAGTGTGTCTAACTCTTTCACTTCTTTTTAGGCTCTCGCTGTGGAATCGGCCATGATCTGATATGATACGCCTGGCTATCCAGAAGTTCATGTTTCTGGCATAGAAGTTGTGCTGTCTTTCATATGGCATTGGGGTTTGACTCTTTCAACATCGGTTCAGTCTATTTCACTGACCACACCACCTCTTTGTAGCTTTTATATTACTAACTTTTAATATAGTATGATATCTTCAGAAAATTTGTCAGTCTCTCAGTAAACGTAAGTCACAAAAAATAAGATTTTTTTGTGAAGTATTTTAAATAAACTAAAAAAAAAATTTGTCCATGAATATATCGAGTAGTTGTTTTTAATTGTCCATGTGCAAAGTGATTTTCATGTTGAGATTAAAAATACTTTTCATCTCAGAAATCTTGGATTTGATTTGTGAAATCTTTAAAACCTCTTTATTACATTTCAAATATTTGTTTTCAATAAAACTATATTTTGTCTGTTATTTTTTCTACTCTAACTCTATACAGTGTTGGTCAATTTGACCGACCTTGTAGCCACCAAAAAAAATCTAACTAATCCAAATTGTAACATGAAACTACATTCATTTACAATAAGTGGCATTATACATCTATTTATAACTAAGTTTTATTGTTTTATTGTCCTTTGAACTTTGTCTAATTACTATTCACACCATTATAAGTTGTAAATCACTTGGGGAATGTAGAGGTCATGTTACACTGTCGAATTACATTACCCATGAGCTGTTCTCGTGTGTGCTTTGTGAAACATTGTTATTATATTATTATTATTTATTTTACCTAATCTAACCTAAAGAGATAGCTATTTTTACATTTTACATTTTTAATAATAAATAAAGAATAAACATAAAAAACAAGAATAAAGTACTTAACTGAATCTTCTTTTTTCTTGCTATTGATTGTCGATGACACTTAACTCAACCCCTCGATGTGGATTCCTGTACGTGGTGAGGGGACCTCCCAGGGAAGGTTCTGTATTTTCAGTTACTTCCTCTGGGATCTAAACATCCACCCACGTGTTTGCCATGCGTGGCGACCTGTGAAGAGGAGGAGAGGATCCTGGTGGTTGAGTGGTGTTTGGGGCACTGCAACACACCACTTTGGCCTTGAATTCCTGTAGACAGGTGACCTTGGGGTGGCCTCCCCAGGGTCAATCGGCTGGTACACTCGGGCTAGGGTCAACTGAGTACTAGTGTTGGGCGTTCTCAGTGGGTGTTGTGGACATCGTGTCTGATGTTGGTGTTTGGGTATAGTGCTCACGAAACCCTGGCTTTGCTGCAGTGTTTGACATTGTAGTGCATCCCCTCGTAGGACTCCATGGTGGGTGTGGACAGTGGGTACTGAATCTTTCTCCTTTATTATGGATCCCCCAAATCCAAATAAAAAAAAAGAAAAACTCTGCTAATTGGTAAACGTCAGTCAAGAAGCTATGTTCTGTGGATATCTTGGTGGAAACATCAACACCAAAACACAGTGAACTCCTCCTGAATTCAAAGACCATTGGGGATATACCCATTGAGGCTACTCCCCATGCTTTTTTGAATTCCTCAAGAGGAGTTATTGTCGAGAGGGACTTGAAGACCATCTCTAAGTCAG